GTACTCAGTTATGATTACGTTTGCCTTTAATTATTTATCGAATTTGCCTATTTTTTTTATTGTTAATGTTTTTATATGAATAAAATGACAATGAAATCTTTTGTTTGGCTAGTTACTCCAACTTAAATTTTTATTTAATACAAAGCATTTTATTTCAATTTTTTTGTTTTTTTTTAATTTCTTCTTTAAATAAGTACAGTTAAATCCCATGACATTGGAGGCCCACTTGTTTATGAAAAAGTTCAGGCGCTTGAGTTTACATCATAAATATATAGATAAACACCTTATCCATGCTTTGTATGGTATTATCACTGTTATTGAAAAGTTCTTGGACCGAAACAATGAAGAAATTGTCGACACAGAAAAATCCAGATTAGCGTGGCGCGCGGAAATGGTCGGAATTGAGCGAAATTATCGCTGTTCCCGTTGCAAGATCGATTTTAGACAGTCTACTGAACGAGCAGCTGAACACGTTACAAGTCCAGGCCACATTAAGAAGATGGGATCAAAATGCGAAATTCAATCAGAAAGTCCAATCATGTCTCCCACAAGTATTTGACATTTGCGTCCATTCAAATGTAGAAAGTATTAAAATATTTCTTTTTATTTTGGAAGATTATGATTTGGCAAAGTGCAGTAAGGAAACCACTAAACATGTTGCACGTCAAGATCAGATACAGCAGTTATCAAATCATCCATCGTTAAGTATATAGAATTTTCATTCATTTCAATACATATACAAAGTTTAAAAAATATAATTTTTTGATTTGTTTTTGATTTTCAGACATTGAAGACTTGCTAAATAAAGATCTGATCAAATTCATTGCGGATCAATTGCTAATAGCCGATGAATTAAAATCAATACCCGAGTATGAGGTTATTGAGAGCCAATTATTTGATCTCGTGAAACCGTTGTTTCCCAAACAAACATTGCGGGTTTATCGAATTGGGTCGCGGATTACGGGTATAGGCGAACGGGATTCCAATTTCGATATTTTCCTCGATATCGGCGATACATTCGAAGTCTTCGAGAATCAACCTTCACCGTATATTATGAATAAATTTAAAAAAGTAAGCAAGGCTATGAGGATGGTTCCGTATATATGGAAAATAGAGGGAAAAGTTGAGCGAGCTCTTGTGCCTGTAATAAAAGCGTATAACTTTTCTGCACGTATTAAATGCGAAATCAGTTTCTCGAACAGCTTGGCGGTTATAAATACTAAACTAATAGAGCATTTCTTTGACATACAACCGATTGGTGAGTAAAATTAATTTTCATTACTTTCAGAATGAAAAGGGAATCATTTGCCAATAAATTTTAACAAGACACATTTGTCTTTTTTTAAAAAACTGGTGGCGATGTGCTCGTTTAACGCCTTGTTATCCCACTTATAGTATGGTGTTAATGGTTACTTACTTTCTACAAATTAAAGAAATTTTGCCCTCTGTCGAATTCCTTCAGAAAAGTATTGACTTGAAGAAAGCTATATTCATCGGTCGTAAGTGAAACTAAATGAAAACATTGAATGGTTTACGCTTACGCTTATAATTAAATATTTTAACAGCTTGGTTGGCAACGTTCGGTTTTTGCGCTCTAAGTGATGTAAATAAGGATAAGGTGTCCGTAACAGCGACGAGCATTCAAATGTATTTAAGGCTTTTCTTCGAATTTTACTCGCAATTCGATTTTGAAGCATATGCTGTTTGCCCGTACCTGGGAAAGCTCCTAAAAATTGAGGATTTGGAAAAGGAAATGCCAACCAGGTGGAATACATTGAATCATACGATCATAATTAAATGAAAATTTCATTATATTTTGTAGGTATCACTGTTATGTGAAAATTGCTCGCTCAGATCGTATGATTAATTTAAGGACACCACTAGTTGTTCAGGATCCGATACAACTTCAACGTAATATTATCACAAATTTGAAAAAGATTCATTTACCGGCATTCATTCAATATATACGTTTGTCTCTCTCAACGATGTCCGAAGGATAATATGTAAAATAAATCTAATTACAATGAAATCATTTCTATTTGCAATCTGCAGGAGGAAGAAATAGAAAATTAGTTTGCTAAAAATGGCCACATACGGTATATTCGATTTTTATATCCGCCACCGAAGATTGGAAAAATATTAAGTTTGTCAAAACGTTCGCAACACGCATATAGAAGCTTTAGAGACTCTACGTCGTGGACGTAGCCATGATCTCCTTGATCAAATTTTCTCCCTCCGTAATGGCAAATATTGCCTTTACCGTAAAACTGAAAGTTGTCTTCAAAGTAGACTTGCTTGCACGCGAGTGTATGCCCTAAATCAAACTGGAAGTACATGTTTACAGCGCAGCGTAAGGAGAGCATTCCTGCTTTATGTTCACTATTTATAAATTTCAATAGTTAGACAAGAAAAACCTCCGCAGCTTTTCAGCAAGAATGGGATACTAACATGAGAAAGAAATACATCTCAGCCCTCGTAACCTGATGGGAAGATCGTCATATTTCTTAGCAGTAATATTTTTTCGATCAACCTGAGACCCTGGACACCCACTGTTTAAACTATAAAGTCATTCCATACAGTTTTGGGTGATTTCTTGCAAGCCGTACTTGCCATTTGCAGTTTTCGTACCTTCCAGGGCGACCGACCACCCAGCTATACTGTCTCCAGGAAAAAATGCGTAGAGGGAAACATAACCGCATCCCACACCCCACACCCCATTGCTAGCCATGCGAGCTGCTTCCGTATCTCGCAAAGCCTGCGGTTTTTCCCAAACGCTTTCACCGCGCCCAGCATGGTAGTAGAAGGGACGACCATCTGGCGCTCGATGTTCAGACCATTCAGCAGCCCGA